CGCCAGCCCCGAGCAGCCCCGGCAGCCCCGAGCAGCCCCGCGCCGCCGCCCCCGGAGCGGCACCAGCGGCTCCCCGGCCCGCGGAGCCCCCTGCGCAGCCCCGGCCGCCCTCCCCGTGCAGGGCGAGCGGGAGGGCAGCTCCGGTGTAGCCGTGCGGGCAGCTCGGCCCCCACGGAGCGGGTCGATGCTCACGCATCTTCCCGGGCTGTGAACAAAACTGGCAGAGCCGTTACGGCACGGAGGGGGTGTGAAAATGGGGCCGAGCTGCTTCACCTGGGAGCCATTTTGAGCTTGTGGTAACCGCACAGGCCCGCGTCCTTGGGCTGGTCCCCGGCACGAGGCCGGAATTACAGCCCCGGGAATGAGCTGGGCACAACCGTGGTGCCCCTGCTGTAATGCATAACAGATGAAAGAAATGTGTTTGTGTTGCAGGCGGGCACAGGAGCGGGCCAGGGCTTGCGGGGAGAGGCATTTCTGGCTTGGCCCTGGAGAGCAAGGAGTAAGGGAGGAAAAGATGACAGGCAGCACCTGAGCTGTTTGTTTGCTCACTTGGAAGCAAGCACATCAGCACACGTGAGGAGAGGAGCCTGGTTTCTGTTTTACATAACTCTGCAGACTTCTGTCACAGCTGGGTTTCAAGATGAATGCAGTAAAGGCAACAAATTGTCCCAAAGGGCATAAGAAATGCAGGTGACATCTAGAATTTAAAATTATATAATACAGTCTTATAATGGAGTATATGTAATAAAGTCTTAGAATACAGAGGTTGTGATTCTGTGCTTGTCACTGCCGGGTTTGTGCTCTGCTGCATCACCTGGGTTAACACACAAACGTTAACCTGCACTTCCACCAAGTTGGCCAGAGCAGAGCATGATGTTTTTATTAGGATTCCCCTGAAATGTCTCCTGCAGTCACAAGCAGCCCTGTGTCCTGCCTTCCACTTACTCCTCCGGCAAGCTGAGATGCTCTCGCTCTCCTGTCGTGTGTCTAGATAAGCATTTCTATGGGGATGGCTTTCTATGTTCCACACTTAGTTGCTGACATGAAATGTGTTTTCTGGACTTCCTTTTCCTCACGGACTACCCCTGACATCATAGCGCTCTATGGGCACCTCTGCCTCTGCTCCTCAAACAGCAGCTGTATCAGTGTATCCGAACTGGGATTGTCATTTCTGCTGTGCGTGGAGTCAGTGATGACAAAGATGTAGCATGGGCAGCTAGCGGCGTCACTACCTTTCCTCTTTGATTACCAAAATCAGAAATACATACATGCATTTTATGTGACATCTGGCTCCCCGGGGGAAAAATAAAAAAGATTGAGACAGGAGAGCTTGTAGCAGAAGAGAGAATTTTGTCGTTAAAGAAAAGAGCACGTGCGATAATCCGCGTGGGTCGTACCCCTGACCTGCTGAGAGAAGCAGGTTCAGCTGTGCCGCCTAAAACCCGTGAGTCCACGATGACAGGATGCATGGGAAAGGGCAGTCCTGTTGTTGCCAACACCACCTCTCTTCCGACTGTACAGTGAGACGGTTCACCAGGCCAAACCAACAAAAACCAGCCCCAAAAAGGCAGAAAGCAGATGCTGGTTTAACCCCCCGAAAATCAGCCTGCGGTGGGATCGAAACAAGTGCCAGCACAGGGACGAGAGGAGGGAGCAGGAGCAGGAGCATCCCATTGAGCAGCAACCATCAGTTCATTTTAGCACTGTGAAACTGCAGCGCCTAGGGTACTGCAAGCCAGCAATCTCCTCTTTCTTCATCATTTTCAGGCCACTGGGAGCAGGAGAGCAAAATTCGGAAGGGGATCTTGGAGAAAACGGTCCTTTTTGAGAGGTTTCCATGTTCACCAAGAACGTTACCATGTAAAGATCCAGCACTCTTACATGTGTGGGGTTCCCAGACATGAGGACCACAAACAGACCCTTCTCTTTCCACCCTATTTCTCCATATTCTGTGTTAACACGGAGAAACATTTCTTCCTTGGCCGTTTCGTGAGCACGGCGCGGGGCGTTGGGCGCTGGGGCCCGGCCTGTTCCCGGTGCCGCTCCACGCGCGGGGCCAGGCCGCGGCCTGCGGGTCGGGAACGCGGCGCATCCGTCCGGAGGCATTTTCCACCCGGAGGCGTTTTCCCGATGGCGGGGCAGTTGGGAGCAAGTTGTTTCACATGAATCTGTTCCCTTTCCGTAACCACATAACCGAGCTACTGTGCAAGGGCAGGAAGTGTGGATGTGTTAAACTTGACTGTAATGGGATTTTAGTCATATACCCTGTAATAGGATTTTGGTGGTATCACAGAATGGTTGAATTTGGAAGGGACCCCTATAGATCACCTAGTCCAACCCCCTGCTCCAGCAGGGACACCCAGAGCACGGGGCACAGGGYGGCATCCAGGCGGGTTTGGAGACCTCTGGAGAAGGAGACTCCACAGCCTCCCCGGGCAGCCTGTGCCAGGGCTCTCTCACCCTCACCATGAAGAAGTTCTCGCTCATATGCCATGCAGTACTTTCTTAAGCAAACAAGGAAATGTCAGGATAAAATTCACTATAAGCTAGAAGCACCCCCTTTTCAGCATCTTCATTCAAAGCCATTGGTAAACTTGGGAACAATTCCTGTGTGGAATCGGAGGTGTCTTCCTTGCGAGGCTGCGTTAATCGCGTAGCAGGAGAGAGCACACCCTGTGAAAACATGGCCATGAGTCAGCCTGGGAAGAGTGTCAAATGCTCGGAAGACAAGAGCAGCATTCCAAATGATTCTGAAAAACGGGAGGGATGATTCAGCGAGCTGAGATGCTGCATGAAAAGGCAAGCTGTGTTTAGGAAGAAGTCTAAGGTACCCGCGCAAGCGGGCAGGACCTGTTCGGGAGGCAGGCTGCGAGCTGAAGTGGGTCACCATCCAGAGACAGGTAAACAAGCACGCTGCTCTTGCAGGAACAGGAAAAACCTCGTCTGGGATGCGACAGCAGGAAATGTGATATTGCAGGGACAGGAAATTACCTTAATGGTGACGTGAATGTTGTCAGGGCTGGCGCTTCGCGAGGCACCAGCCTCGGTTGGGGGCTCTCACAAGGATTCACACAAAGGGCCGTTATCTAAAACGCTGCAGTGGCAAAGCCCAGAAAAGCCAGCCCACACAGCCACAAAGCTGTGCATTTCGCAGTCAGCCTTCAGGTGTGACAAACCTGGGGTGGATATTTAAGAAACAGAGGTCAAAAACCTTGTGGAAAGCTGAAGTACATCATCGATGCTGCAAAAGTGTGCATCTTTATACCACCTACAGTGCTTTTCTTCTAACTTTTGTGTGCTCTTCTTGGTGGGAAACAACACAAGCTCCAACTTTATCTACTATTTAACCATTCAGGAATTATGCCTAGCATGTGTAGGATTTTTATGCCTCTCTCTTCATTCTGAAAAAGATACAATTAAAGCATTATAATCCTTTGGAAATCCTTATGCCACTAAAGAATATTTCTCTTCACACTGATTAAAGATACAGGAATACATGATGTTGCTATAAATACAATTTGAGGTTACAGGCAGTTCAGTGGCAGACCCGACTCGCGAGGTTTTCACTCCCGGCTTCTCACACTCCCAACTTCCCACACTCCCAATTCTGCCCAAGGAAGGCCTGAATCCCTATTTTTCTGTTTTCTAAACAGAAACGATTCTGGTTCTCCTGCTCCGCCTTGGAAAGCAGCCGCAGTGTCGGGAAGGCTGCAGTTGTTGGGAAGCTGCAGAGCACAAGGCCAGAAGTGCTGGCTTCCAGTTCCTGCCAGTGAATTATTAGGCGTCCGCATTAGCTGTGCTCCTTCCGCCCTTCTTGCTCCAAAACACCTCTTAGCTTCTTGCAGGAATCCGTGTCATCTCCCACGGGGAAACTTCTACGTGTTTAAGAGATGGTGTAAGGATGGAGCAGCTGCTTCCCAAGCTCTGCTTTCCAACCAATGATTCTGCTACTTTTTTTTTCCGCACTGAGGTGAGGATGCCCCTTTTGGGGGAAAATAAATTCTTTGTTCAGATACTTGTCGAGCATTGCCCATGAACACAGTAGCCAGAAAACCTGCTGTTTGCCTTGCTCGAGGAAGGCTCAGTTGTGTTGCTGGCCCCTGCCAGCAGCACAAGGCGGGATTTTGCACATCTGCTGCATCGTTCCTGCTGCTCGGAATGGCCAGGGCGCCTCTCACACACATCCCCAGGGCCAGGGCTGGCACGTTGAGCCGTTACCAGCTTCGCCAGGACGTGATTCCGCGGCGTTCCCGGTGCCCCTTCCCAGCACATACGCGCAGCAGACGCGTCTCCTCTGTCGCCGTGGTCAGACCTAAAGGCCCTTCGGTTACCAGCACACACTGGTCACTTTTCCTGGCAAGCAAGAAAGCAGCTTTCCCGGAGCTTTTCCGGGAGCAAGAAGCAGCGGGAAGAGCTGGCAGGCTGGTGCATCGCTTGTTTCTGTCCC